ACCAGCTTGTGCTATTAACAATCGACATTCCTCTCCGTGGCCAAAATTATTATTTTTTACCAGTCAGATAAACTAGGGTATGGTTGAAATTAACCGTTGTTATACAGAACTACAGCCATTGTATTATTGATAAGCTGTGAAGCAGTAAAGTCAGTATCTCTGAATTTCATGCGTTCATAGTATTGTGCATATTTTATGCCAGCATACGTAATTATATGCTTACAACTAAAATACGACAGGACTTGTTAAAATTTACGTATGACAAAGAGTATATTTATGACAAACCCGAAAATTACTCGAGGAGCGGATGTCGAATTTAAGTAGTTATGAGGTTCCCTAAATTAGGTCAATAATAGGAGCATTTGGGGTAATTTCAGCCGCGGATTTCAGCAGCGAATATTGCGGCGCAGCATCTCAGACTCCATGAGGCCATCTCGCCACCATTTGACTTTACTCGTCATGCGAGAGGCCGCGCTTCCCTTGTCTGTGTTGCCGTACTCGGTCAAGGAGTTTTTACGAATGAAAATGGCTCCTGAATATTCAATGTAATTAACGAGTCACCTTGCTTTGCTCACGCGTGAAGAACGCAACGAGAGGCGCGGCCGTGAATTATGTGCGGTTACAGGCAGCTCCTCTATTCTCATTTGGCTTCAAGCAGGTCGGGCAGAAGTGCAGTTGTGATTTGTTCGCTAATGTCTATGAAATTAAACATAAGTTTATGCTAATAAACGTCACAATCAACGCTCAAAATTGTATACAAATCTTTCTTGAAAGCAGAAAAATGCACATTGGATGATGTTTTCACATATATTCGAAGAACCACACACAGGAAAACTATCATATGTGGCCTTTGTACCACCTTCCTCATTCCCCACACATCAAAGTAGATGAACGATTGTCAAATTTTCACCATATTTCTTGAAAACAATAATGTTTTGGCGTTCACCATCGGCAGGCACGCTGAGCATAAAAAATATTAAACTGTGCTGATTTTACTTGATAGTAATGCAAGCTCATGATATTTGTGTGTGATATTTGAAATTAATTGCTCAGTAATGTTTCTCATGGATTCTTTCATTTGAACGAAAATTCATTAACTCCCGATAAAAATAAATGGCAGATTATTAAATAACTTTTATGTCTGCTTGAGCGGCTGCTTTTAACAAACATAGAAGCGTTAAAATTTAATGTTCTCTTTAAAACTAATTTACCAACGGATGATTGTAATTGATAGCGATTCGAATGTTTTCAAATCTTTCATATGATTCAAATTTGCTGCTACCTTGATCACGCTTCAATTGTTCCGATGCCTGATCGCGCTTCAAATGTTCTGAGGGCTGATGGCGCTTTAAAAATGCCCAGGATTCATCCTCTATTCGCCACTAGCGACTTTCCACTTATTGTCTTATTTCAACAATTCCTTAAACAGAAACCCACTCCAATCATGGGTAAAAGCATCGTGAATTCATACCTATTTCCACTGTGGCCCGTGATTCTTTTTCGCAATCACAATTTCCTTACCCATCACTCTTCACAATGCGCTAATCGAATAAATCTTTTCAACGCTCAAATCATTCATCTATTTTCTGTACTCTGAAATTCGTAAATGTCACTATATATTACATCTAGGCCATGAACGAGCATCGTCTTCAAAGTACCGTTGGCTTTAGCAAGACAATTTAGGTCAGACTGTGTGGAGAAATTTTCTTATAAAAAGCATTCATTTTAGGCTATCTTCATTTAATCGGCCAACATTCGGGCAGAAGTGCAGTTGTGATTTGTTCGCTAATGTCTATGAAATTAAACATAAGTTTATGCTAATAAACGTCACAATCAACGCTCAAAATTGTACAAGAAATCTTTATTGACTACAAAAATGCAAATAGGATGAGGTTTTCACATATATTCGAAACATCTCACACAGGAAAACTATCATATGTGGCCTTTGTACTAACCTTCCTCGTTCCCCACACATTAAATTACATGAAAGGTAATCAAATTTTCACCATATTTCTTAAAAACAATGATCTTTTTATGTTCACCATGGACGGTCACACTGAACATGAAAAATATTAAACTGAGCTGATTTTCCTTGATAGCAATGCAAGCTCAGGATATTTGTCTGCGTAAAAGATTTAACCAACGGTTAACTAGCTCCTATTGCTCGTTAAATTAAGCAGCTGCGATACCTGAAATTATTTACTCAATGATGTTTCTTCCGGATTCTTTTATTCGAAAGAAGACCCATGCACTCTATAAAAATAAAATGCAGATTAATAAATAACGTCGATTGGTTCGAGCATAGAAGCGTTAAAATTAGAAATTATCCATAAAAACTTATTTGCCAACTGATTTTTATAATCGATAGCTATTCGAATATTTTTCGAATCTTTCATAATATTCAAATTTTCCGAAACCTTGGTCACGCTTCATATGTTCTGATTCCTGATCGCGCTTCATGTTTTCTGATGTCTTGACCGCACTTCGAAATTTCCTCTGATTGATTGCGCTTCATATGTTCTGATTCCTGATCGTACTTCGAATGTTCTGATGCATGGCTGATCGCGCTTCAAATGTTCGCTTGATCGCGTTTCTTATGTTCTGATTCCTGATCGTTCTTCAAATGTTCCTTTGCTTGATCGCGCTTCAAATGTTTTGATGGCTGATTACGGTTCAAAAATGCCCAGGATTCGTACTCTATTCGCCTCTAACGACTCTTCACTTATTGCCTTATTTTAACAATTCCTTAAATAGAATTTCACTCCAATTATGGGTAAAAGTATCATAAAATTATACCTATTTCCACCGTGGCCTGCAAATCTTCCTTGCAATCACAATTTCCTCACCCATCACTCTTCACAATGCGCTAATCGAATAAATCTTTTCAATGCTAAAAGCATTCATCTATTTTCTGTACCCTGAAATTCGTAAATGTTACTATATATTACATCTAGGCCACGAACGAGCATCGTCTTCAAAGTACCTTTGGCTTTAGCAAGACAATTTAGGTCAGACTGTGTGGAGAAATTTTCTTATAAAAAGCATTCATTTTAGGCTATCTTCATTTAATCGGCCAACATTTCACATAACACACTTGTACGAGTATTATTGTATTGAGCGGATTCATCACTTACGGATTCCAGTCTAATTGGCGTTGTCTAGACCAATATATATTGCTAGTCATTGATCAGGAGAATACATATAATGTTATCCATTGCAGAGAATTCTACACTCTAGCCTTACTGACTCAATTCCAGCAATTAAACTCGTAGCCGCCAGCCACAGCTTCCATGTTTTGCCTCTTGGAGTCAATTTATAAAACTTTGCCACCTCAATCTGCTCAATGTTAAATCCAACATCCGAGCTGAACCGAGTTTATTTTATTGCATTGGCCGCCATTCCACGCCACGAAAAAATATGTTTAAATTCACTACCCCTTTCCTTTTATGACTTATTTGGGTCCAATTACCATCATGGCAGTTGAGTCGAAACTTGGCAACAGGTTTTTAATTTCATCACCTCCCACCGTATGGCAGAGCCTCTACCACAAATTTAATTTTCATCCCAATTACCTTGAATCTATGTATTATTTTAACTTTTCTTTTCTAACGAAGTGTGGTGCTGTCGTCCTTCACACTGCAAACCAAAGTCATATGCCATCATAGTTTCAATTTGCAGAGAAAAGTCATATCAAAAATCAGCTTTCACCATTCATTTTATGGTCCCGAGGTTTTCGGTTTGAACCTTCACATATTTCAGGCTGACAATATCATTGTTTCATCAAGTCTTCAATTCTATAAAAGAACTTGAATATTGGTGCACTTGAGAATTTGACGAGAAATATTCTAGAGGTTTTCTCACAGTTTATTTGCAAAGACCATTTTTCGTAATTTTAATTTTAAATTAAATAGTGTGATGACTAGTTTACAGTGATGACTAGTTCACAGTAATAACTAGTTCACTGTGGTCAGTAGTGCGAATTATTACTTTTTCCTTGTAATATCGATTTGAAATTTTTCGACCTAATTTACCTCCTGAATATAATCTCAGGTTTCACCATAGATCTCATTCAAATCAAGATAGACTTGCATTTTTTGAATGAACTTAAATGTTGCTACGTAATCGATGATTTGACGAAAATAAATCGGGAACGCACAGCATTTGAGAATTTTTCCCAAACTAGCCTTCCAACAAAATTTCTTTTATGGTAATGAAATTTCGCTTATGGTATTAACCCAACCCTCCGTGCTAGTCGGGATTGACCATCAAAACACGGCGGTAGACTTACGTATGTGTAAAGTTTTCTTCTACCGCACCGATGAATGATTTGGCTATTTAGATCTGAATGAAAGTTCAAGCGATGACGCTTTTCACAACCTATGCATTGGCCAGAGAAGGTATGTGTGAGACAACACCACACACTATGACCACTCACTCTGAGTGTGAGGGCTATTGTGCCTCAAATATTAATAAAATTTATTATTGGAGCGAGAATGTTACAGTGAAGACACGCTATGTCACTTAGTGGAATGCCAGACAAACGATGCTCTAGTCTAGGGGGATCTGTTTCGGTCTTTCACAGCATCATGTTTTTCTGCACTCTGGAGTTTCGGTCTTTCACAGCATAATGTCTTTCTGCACGCCGTAGTTTCGGTCTCTCCCAGCATCATATATTTCTCACGCTGGAGTCTCGGTCTCTCACAGCATCATATATTTCTCACGCTGGAGTCTCGGTCTCTCACAGCATTATATTTCTCACGCTGGAGTCTCGGTCTCTCACAGCATCATATATTTCTCACGCTGGAGTCTCGGTCTCTCACAGCATAATGTATTTCTGCACGCTGGAGTTTCTGTCTCTCACATGCATCATGTCGCCAGCATCATATCTCTCTGCACACCGGAGTCCCGGGTCTCTCACCGGCATCATGTCTTTCTGCATGCCGTAGTCTTGGTCTTAACAGCATCATGTTTTTCTGCACACCATTGTCTCGGTTACTCACCAGCATCATGTTTTTCTGCACACCATTGTCTCGGTTACTCACCAGCATCATGTTTTTCTGCACCCAAGAGTCTCGGTCTCTCAGCTTCACCTCAAGTTTTGCACCGAAATCTTTTGCAATATAACTCGTTATCACGAGGTAACTGAATCATTTCAAGCTGCAAGGCTCATCTTACGGACTAAGAAGGCCACTAAGCAGCTTTGTTAACGGTGAGCACTCAACGTAGCTCTAATAATTCTAACTTTCTTCTCAGCGACAGTAATTGAGCCCCAAACCCCGGCTGAGACAACCTCTATGCCGCTTAGGGATCAAGTCCGTAAAAGGCACTGGAGTATCCATGGTAACAATGATTCTAAATTATTAATATTGTCACACGGGAAAACTCCGATCTAATGTCTCCTGACTAATGAAAATTTAGTTAAATAAAAGTAGCTAAAGGACTTATTGTCGTATAATTTATTACACTATGTTGCGATGGAAAACTTTTTTTATGCCTTGTGTTCCAATATGAAACCTAGCTATTCTGAACAAAATAAAAATAAAACCACAAACCCTTGCGAGTATAACTCTCTATTATTTTTCTAATTTAATAAAAAATCGCAAACATGACAAGATTTAAATGAAAAATTCCTTTCGAGTTGACAATATTTATCGCTCCGATTTATTTGGATCGTAATAAATTGAAATTAAGTAATTAAAATGATCGACTTATATGAATGAATGTAATGAACAAGATATGCTAGATTTTATATGCAACACAAGGCCTATGAAGTAGTGAGACTTACTCCTCTAGTTTCCATAATGCACTACTGAAGAATTGTTTTTCTCGACAAACACATGTTATAAATCCCTTGAGTAATCTCGGAGTTCTAGCCCTAGAAAAAGTTCCTGCGAGCTTGACATAACTATATGAAACAGTAAAAACGCATCAAGGTTGCAAAGCTTACTACAGAACACACAGCACAAGCTTATCAAAACTAATAATAGAATCCCTGCAATTTTAACTCCTAAATTAACGGTTATAAAGAGTGGATTGCACCTGTCATTAAAATCATGTTACTGCACTCAAGTTTTCAATGAGGACGAAATAATTCCGCGATTTGACGTAGGGCAACATGGGGCAGCGCCCCCCCCCCCTTTTTTTAAACTAAATTTTTGATGAAGTTTCAATTGATGCGAGGTGGTTCTTTCTTTTGTTTAAAGGTAAAACTAATGAGGAATGTATGATGTGAATTAGACGCCTATAGGGTTATTCAATTTTTAATGAAACACTATTTTGTAAAAAGTGTCAAAATGGGCCCATTGCCCTACCCCCGGGTAGGGCCCATTGCCCTACCCCGGGATTGGGGCAAGGCGCCCACCCTTGGTCCCTTTACCATAATTGCATATTTTTCGTTTAAAAATGATAAAACAACACTTTACAGTTAAAATTAAGAAAAATTTAATAAAAAATGTGACATTCATTCGTTTATTAACAACTCAAAAAAATCATTTCCTTAACTTGAAAAAATATACTCATGTCTTAAAAAATCTATCACTGACATGAAGAAATATATTTCATTGACATAAAATATATATCCTAGATTTGAAAAATATATCCTTTCGAATGAAAATTCGTCCTTGACATGAAAAAATGTATCCTTGACTAGAAAAAATATATTTAATTGATCAGAAAAAAACTTCGTTCCAGTTTCGTCCATAATCCAGATATTATGTGCAGAGAATTCGTATCTAATCGTGATTTCAGCCAACACCACAAAAATTCCTCAACTTTTGGCTCATTGGTGTTGACTGAAATCAACTTTTGGCAAGGCAAGAGTCAATTCGATATGGGGTCATAAATACGCATAACTAGAAACTAAACCCGCTGCCTTGAGGCGGCAAATCAAAAAATCATGCAATATGAAGTGTAAGTTGTAATTCAAAAAGCTAGTCATAGTTTTGAAAAGATCATTGAGACAAATCTAATGATGTATACGTATAACACAAGACTTCACCATGGGCGCTTTGCCCCGTGACACGCGTTGGCCCGTTGCCCCACTGGGCATCATTTAAATTTATATCGTGCCAACATTTTATTTTAAAAGCTAATAGTCTAAACTTGATCTCAAAATTATCCCTATAAATATTACGTTCAAATTAAAATTCATAGTAATTTCAAAAGCTTCATCTACAGTAATCGAAAACAGTTTTTCTTAGCGGCCAAAAAATTTTTATCTGGGCTAAAACAGTTATTCACAATAACTTAATAACGCAAACACTTAGCAAAACGTAAATCCGTACACTTCATCCCACATCCCAGTGAAATTGTCGACCGGCGGTAGAGAACACGGACCAATATCTGCCATACTTAGCGAGAAACCCGCTATGGGCCCATGACCCGCAGTGGGCTCGCTGCTCCATGTTACCCTACTTTTTTTCAGTTGAATTGAAGTTGACGAATTGTGCTTACGTAATTGCGCATCTCGACCGAATATAAAACACTCTAGCTGAACAATGATACGGTGCAGGCATATCCTCGTACCGTGTGAACTGCTGGAAGCCACACAATACGAGGAGAGAAACAAATTACACGCAGTATTTATTTAACTATCGAATAATGATTAAGAAATAGAGCTTTGTGCGGAATTGAAAATTTTTGGGTTGCTTTTTAGTTGCTTTTTTCGTTACTCATACTCATTCCAATCGATTTTTCGTCTATAAATCATCCACTTCATTTCCCACTCATGTCGAACAGATTTTATGTCTATGAGTCAGCCAATTAAATCTCTCGCTCATCTTGAACGGATTTTACCTCCATGGGTCAGCCCTTTCAATCTCCCACTCATGCCGAATGGATTTTAAGACAACAAATTTTCAATGTACATTTATCTCAATTATTGCAAAATTCAAGGTGCAAGGTTCAATGCCCCAAATATAGGTCATTTAGCTATCGTTTGATTATCGATAAACGAACTTGATCAAATTTTCCTCGGTTATGGTATATAACCACTCATACGTTGCTAAATTTTCAGTTCCCCACATTCTGAATTGAGATGAATGAGTCGTTTTAGATATACCAAACGGAATGAAAAACCTGATCTTGTACTGCATTCTACTGAAACAACAATCATACCGCTGTTCAATGTTATAACTGTTGTTAAATGAGACAATCTCATTACGACAATGAGAAAATTTCATTAAATGAGACAACTTGCAATTGCCAATCTTACGACAAGTGTGAGCGAACATAATTTACTGTCTTCGTCATTTAGACGTTGCCGAGACGAGGAAGTTCTCAGCATCATTGACGACTGTGCCTAGGATAAAAGTTATAATATGAGTTTTATTGTCCGAAAGCATCCAACGAATGAACTGCAAAGAAATTACAAGAAAAGTGAAGAAACTTCGAACCATAATCATGGAATGATTGAATTTTCCCGGTATAGAGAAACAGGCGCCCGCAACTTAGCTGAGCTTTTGCTACAAGGGGTTATTAAAATTAGTGACCTATTAATATCTAAACATTTCACTCAGTAAAGTCGTCTTGAAAATAGTATATTTGACCTCGATAAGTCAATAAATTGTAGAAAATTTTAAGGTTTAAAGTAACGAGAATTGATTGCTCAACCGTCGATGTGACAGCGCAATGTAGCGCTGTCGGCTGCCCAAAGCCTCGTGTAATGGATCCTCAACATCGATGCTGTTTTTCTCGAAGATCTCGTGCGTAATATCCTGATAATATAATATAAGAAGATTTTTCTTCTCTGAATCTATACCAGCTCGGTATATTGAATCGTAATCCGACCAAGTTAGTTTGCTTGATCTCGTCATGAGCTAGTGGAGTGATTCCCTGACATCTTCAATGGGTTATTGGATAATTTGCTGCTTTGTTCGTTGATTTGGTCGCTACTTAAAGTAAAGTTAAGTAGGAAAAACAATTTCAAATATACAGGATAAACAATTTAATCATATCTGAAAATAAATATAGAATCTGTTGTTATTGGCATGAATTTAAGAGAATTTTTTATCCGAAATTATAGTAGGAAAATTAAGTGTTGGGGTATACAAGCATTATTTGAAAAGGCGGATAAGTCGTCATCTAGATCTATTTCTTATTCGTTATAAGCAGGTTAGATTTAGACTTTTAATTTACAGTAGTCCTTTATAACTATAAATTTAGAATATATAATAGAAATTTAACGTGATATAACTCGAACTCATCAATTCAAAAGGGTCAAGTCGTACGCATCGCAGCCAATTTGGACCAGAAAGCCGAGTTCACTTGAGTTTCGCAATGATTCGAAATTGACAAAGTTAGCTCCGGAGGCGACCACATTCCTCGAGAATGTCAGAGTAAACAAACTGCCATGGCCGAGTATAGCTAATGAATGTTGAAAATGAGCGTTGGCTTCAAGGCCGATTATAGCTACTGCATGTTGAAAGGGAGCGTTGGCTCCAAGAACGAGTTTAACTACTGCATGTTGAAAGTGAGCGTTGGCTCCAAGGCCGAGTTTAGCTACTGCATGTTGAAAGTGAGCGTTGGCTCCAAGGCCGAGTATAGCTAATGCAGGTTGAAAGTGAAAGTTGGCTCCAAGGCCGGGTACTGCTAATGCATGTTGAAAGTGAGCGTTGGCTCCACGGCCGGGTACTGCTAATGCATGTTGAAAGTGAACGTTGGCTCCAAGGCCGAGTTTAGCTAATGCATGTTGAAAGTGAGCGTTGGCTCCAAGGCCTAGTTTAGCTACTGCATGTTGAAAGTGAGCGTTGGCTCCAAGGCCGAGTATAGCTAATGCATGTTGAAAGTGAGCGTTGGCTCCAAGACCGAGTAT